GAACAGCGCGAAAACACAATTCGACGACGTTCAATTAGATCTAACTTGCAAACAAAACAAATTGAACAGTGCGACAATACAATTCGTAGACGCACCGCTCGTTTAAATTGGACTGTAAGACAACTTGAGTAAGCGGTAAACACAAGACGAAGACGTAGAATTAGAACTGATGTTGAATGAAGACAGAACGATCAACGCGAAAATACGATTCGACGACGTAGAACCAGATCTAATATCGAAACAAGAAAAAAACGAACAACGCGAAAACACAATTCGATGACGTTCAATTAGATCTAACTTGCAAACAAAACATATTGAACAGTACGACAATACAATTCGTAGACGTACCGCGCGTTTAAATTCGACTGTAAGACAACTTGAACAAGCGGTAAACACAAGACAAATGCGTAGAATGAGGACTGATGTTGAAAGAAGACAGAACGAACAACGCGAAAATAGTATTCGACGACGTACTATCAGATCTAATCTGGAGACTAGACAAAGTGAACAGCAGGAAAACACAATTCGTCGACGTACCGCATGTTTAAGCCCATCTACTAGAGAATCTGAGCGACAAAAAAACACAGAAAATCGTCGTATAATTAGATCAAATCAGGAGTTAAGAGAAAATGAGTAACGCACAGTTGTTAGACGTTCTGCCCGCTTAAATTTGCAATGGCAATATGTCCTAAATACCTTTAAATTAAATATTCAAGACCTTACCATCAATGTTATTATTGTGATCGGCTTTTCTTCAAAAAGTCTATCAAATATTTAGAAAAATCTACTATTGATATAAAGTTTAGAAACAGCATTAATTAGTGATTATAGGAACATAAATAGGATCCCACTCTGCATGACATGTCGCTCATATATTGGGGAAAATAAAAAGCCTCGATTTTGTGATAAAAATGGCTTAAAGTTTCCAAAAATTCACGAATCCCTGCAAGATTTAAATCCTCTCGAAACACGTTGTGTAGCTGTCCGCATTCCCTTTTATGAGAATATTCAGTCTGGGTGTAGATAGGCAATTAGGTTTAAGAGGTAGTGTGATAAATGTTCCTGTAGAAATAGATAATATGATTTCAGCCTTGCCCAGAAACTATAGTGAAACTTTCACGTGTCAATTAAAACTAAAGAGACGAATACATGACAAGCAATGAATGCTTGTCATGTATTCGTCAATCAATACGAAACCGTAAATGCTCGTAAAATTTGAAAGCCGCGCATTATCTTGTTGAACAAGATTTATATAAAGAAAATAACATTTCTTTAGACTCTTCTTGGATATTGCCACGAAATGTATAAATTGAAAATTTTGTAGTAAACACTATCGAAACAAATATAAATGTGGAGAACGTGGCAAATATTGTTGACAACAATCCAGGAGAGAACGAAACTTTAATGGATATAAGTGAGGTTAAATAATTTGCTCCTGGTGAGGGCCAGCATACATTATCAACTCTCTGAGATACAAATGCTGAAGAGCTTTCCCTCCCTTCACTTTATGCAAGTTTTAAAAGGCAAACTTCGCCTACTTTATCTTATAATATCGCCGGACCACTAGTACTGATCATTTATTGTATGCTTTTAAAAAATCTCAAATAATTCAAATAATAAAAAATATTAATATAGCACTGAGAAAAAAATCATCTTCTGCAGAAACTGTAACGGCTGGTGAGGCAAGGGATATAGAAAATTTAAATAGACTGATTTCACATAATGAGGGCTATAAGGTATTAAACTCTATTAGGAACTCTCCATCTCACTAGGAAAATGAAAAAAAAAATGTTTGTGCTATGATTAGGCAATTAGGAATTCCAACACTCTTCATAACTTTGTCGGCTGCTGAAAAAAAATGGGCAGAACTGATTAAAATATTAAAAAAAAACTATAGATAAAGTTGACTGTACTAATGAGGAGGTAGAATTTATGTCCTTTTTAGAAAAATCTAGGCTTACCAGGTCGGATCCAACCTCTTGTGCACTATATTTTGATCATAGGTTTAAGGAATTAATGAAAACGTGGAAACTTACAACTTACAATGCCTTTCAAAATATATACATTAAAGCATTTACAGAGTATTACAGAATAGAATTTCAACATAGAGGATCTCCTAATGTTCATATGTTGGTGTAGTTAGCTAATGCACCAACATCTTTATTCTTATATCAAAGCACAGGATTTTGTCGATGAGCTGGGTTTATGTAGTCTTCCATTATCAAAACCACAGTCACACTTCAACATGCAAAAGGGAAATAAGAGGAAAACAAGTTTGTATGTAGGTTTAATATACCATTTTATCCTATGAATAAAACTATTATTTTATCACCCCTTGAAGAAATTGATTGAAGAACAAAACAAAAACTGAAAAATGACTCAAATTTAATGTACGAAAAATTAAGCATATTACCTTTTCAGGTAAGTTTTATATTTTAAGTTTCACAGAATTTCTCGAATACATTGCACTAAATGAAGAACAATATATAAAATGCATTCGTTCTGAACTAAAACGACCAAAACTGTTTCTCTAGAGAATGCCATCTAAAAAGATGGTGAATCCATACTCTTCAAAAATTTTAGATCTTTTTCAAAGTAACATGGACATTCAATTTATGATGGACCCTTACGCTTGCGCTGTTTATGTTGTAGATTACATAAATAAATCCAATCGTGGTATGTCAAAATCGCTTTCAGGATGTGTAAAAGAATCGAAGAAAGAAAATTTTTCGATTCGTCAAACATTATAATCTATTTCCAATACTTTCTTAAATTTTTCAGAAATGAGCGCTCAAGAATTGAGCACATTTTTAACCAACCATCTAATAAGAGAGTCCGGTTAAAGTCAATCAAAGACTTAGAACTTCTTCCCCTCGAGAGTTTAAATATTTTTGTTGAAGGCTTAATTTAACATTACATACAAAGACCAGATGAATTTAATAGCATAACTTTAGCGGAATCTGTATCTCCTTATAATTTTAGGAAAGTATCCAGTTCAGATGTTTTGAATGATTTAAATGAATATAGTGATATAGCCAGTATGATTTTGTTCAAGACCCAGACAACTTTTATAGGGAAATGGTTATGCTATACTATCCATGGCGCGGTGAGCTATCTGAACTGAAATACTCATTGTGCAGGTAAATTTTGCGAGCAAAATATAAGCATTATTTTAGAAACGAGAAAGACATAACTTACTTCCTGATGTTGCGATTGATTTAGGTGATACAACATGGAATTCATTGCTCCTAAACAAATTTCGGAAGAAGAATATTTTGACCTTCTTCAAAGTTTAAATATAAAACAAAGAGACTATATCTTGCAGGCAATAAATAAGTTTAAGAATAGAAAGGTTCCCATATTTGAAATTGTTAATATCAATCTTTTCTTAGAGTCATAAGAAGCGGGCGAGGTTCTCACGAAAGTTTAGAAGTTCTTTTTTTAGCTCCAACATGAAAAGCTGCTCATAATATTGGGGGGATGACAATACATTCAGCATTTTACACAAAATAATATGCAATATACTCGTTTATCTGTATATGCAGTATGTTTGTCTATATATACTCATTTTATATGTATATGCAATATACTCGCTGACGTATCTCATTCTTTACTATGTAAGTTAATAAACTTACAAGTTATTATAATTGATGAAATTTCTATGGTAGGAGCTAAAACATTTTTCAACATTCATAAGAGGCTATGTCAAATTTTTAGGCGAAGTGACTTTTTTGGAGGAGTATCGGTGATCGTTTTAGAAGATTTTAGGCAATTAAGACCAGTAGTAGATAGATATATTTTTCAAGTTCCTTCAAATGAGTTAACATTAGAATTACTACGCCCTTCATTATTGGAAAATTTTAAAATGTTTGAAGTAACACAAATTATGAGTGAAAGAGAAGATGTTACTTTTGCTAGAGCTTTCTCCAATTTAGCTATGTCTATAAAATTCATATGTTTAGCTAGACTATGAAATTCATATGTTTAGAAGCAGATGTTTGCCAAACTCCCTCAAGAGGCCAAACGGTTGCCACATTTGTTTGTGTCAAATAATGAAGTAGACGTATACAGTAATTTCGTATTAAGGTGATCGATTGGAAGCTACAGCAGCAGCTATGGATAGTGTTGGAGGAACAGGAACAACTGACGCTAAAACACATTTTTTGGAAGTTGTAAAAACAAAATCAGTACAAGAAACTTACGGGCTTTCTCAGACGTTAATTTTGAAATACGAAATCCGTTGCATGATTACTTGAAATATTGACATTGAAGACGGTCTCTTTAATGGCGCTACAGGAATTCTGAAATTTGTAGGGACAGGCTCTCTGGCAAATGGAAATACAGTGCCTAGCCGTGTTAGGATAAAATCTGAAGACACATTTCATTTGACAAGCCAAAAAGCGCGTAATAAACATCGATCTCTTATGCAATTGAATAATATCTCCTTAAATTTTACACCAATTAGGTTAGAAACAAAAATAAAACACAGTAGAAAATCTAGTACTCGTAGAAAATCTAGTAATTTGCACGTCAGTCGAAAACAGTTTCCCTTGATAGTAGCTGAAGGTATGAAAATTCATAAGTCCCAAGGACAAGCTATGTTAGGAGTTGAAGTTAATCTAATTAAAAGTATACCAAGATCTTCTTTGTATGTGGCATGTTCTCGGCAACCGATTTATCTAAACTTTACCTCGTAGGCGATTTTATTCTACCCACACCACCATTACCTAACAATTTAGTTGCCAATGAAATTAAAAGATAACAGCAAAACCCTTTAATTCCCCTATTTCACCATTTGCACGAAAGCTCAAATATTATTCAAATTGTAGCACACAATACCCAAAGCTTATAAAAAAATCTTCGAAACATTTTTTTAGATGCAGTTTTTAATAATTCTCAAATACGAGTATTATGTTTTTCTGAAACGTGGACTATAAGAAATGACAACATTATAATAATTTACTTATTACAAAGATCACTAATTTACAAAGATCACTAATATGGACAAAGAAGCTACACGAAGAACGGCATTTGGAACAGTAATTTATGTTCAAAAAGTTTTGATTTCTTCAGTTTCAAACTCCGAAAATAAACTTAACAACCATGGTCCGGGTAAACATATTGAAATAAGTAAAATAAAATTTAAGGATTTAGTAATAATACTCGTAGTAGTATACAAATCGCTAAACGCTAATATTTCCAACTTAAAAAACTTTTTGAGACCAAATCTTTTATATAAAGGTAAACTCTTAATTGTAGAAGACGTCAATGTAGATTTTTCCAAATGCAATACCCTAGAATCCTTTTTTAACTTTCACAGTTTCAATATGCTAAATACTAAACCTGAACCGACTACCGATGGCAGCACTGTAATAGACGCAGCTTTCGCTAACTTTACTGTAAATAGGATTGATATTTATGAAAGCTTGTATACAGTTATCATAAACCAATTGTTTGGTCAATAGATAATTATTATACCCTGCACTTCGTGAAGGGTATATTAACTTTGGTATGGAGTTTGTAACTACTTGAAGGAGTCATCTGCGGTATGGACATATATATATATTCTTGCTCAGCGTAAAATTCTGAGTCGATTTAGACATGTCCGTCCGTCCGTCCGTCCGTCCGTCCGTCCGTCCGTCCGTCCGTCCGTCCGTCCGATCGCACGATAACTCAAAAACGAATAATGCAATCGACACCAAACTTTCACAAGTTTTTTCTTTTGTGCCAAGGACGAACCCTATTGTTATTGGACTAATTCGGACAACGGGTTCGGGTAGCTGCCATACAACTTAGAGTTTATTTTAAATATTTCAAAAACTTATAAAGCTATAAATCTATAATTTTGTATACATATGTCCAATTATATTCTACATGTGCTCTAAAAACTATAATGGGGTAGCTGCACCGGTTCGGGTGACTGCCATACAACTCCAACAGCAAATTTTTTATATTCGGCAAAATAATAACGTCAGATTCATGATACTTGGCAGTTATGTGTCCAATTATAGGTCAAATATAATTCTAAAGTTTTGGTGGGATTACTTGACAGGTTCGAGTAGCTCCCATACAAGTCAAAAAGCTTATTCTTAATATTTGGAAAAATAATAAAGTCAGATTCATGAAACTCGGCAGTTGCATGTCCGATTATAGATCAGATATATTGGTGAAGTTTTAGTGGAATCGCTTGACAAGTTCGGGTACTTGCCATACAACTCCAAAAGCTTATTTTACATATTTGGAAAGATAATAAAGTATGAATCATGAAACTTGGCAGTTGTATGTCGAGTTATAGGTCACATATATTTCTAAAGTTTTAGTAGAATTGCTTAGCACGTTCGAGTAGATCCCATACAAGTCTAAAAGCTTATTCTTAATATTTGAAAAAATAATAAAGTCAGATTCATGAAACTTCGCAGTTGTGTGTCCGATTATATCCAATTATAGGTCAGACATGTCCGTGAAGTTTCTATAGAATGATTTCACAGGTAATTGCTACACAATAACGAAAGGTGCTGGGTATAATTCAATCGGTTTATACCGACTGAAACGTTTTTACTTGTTTTTTTTGTTTTTGTTATTTAAAACGTTTTTCCTACATTTCATGCTAATTATTTTGCGAAATAATATGGTATTTTTCAACAAAATGTTTTTTGGAGGATATATTTGGTATGTTGGTAAAATGCAAAACTTTCATGCTTTTAAAAACTCGTGGTAGCCTCTGGAAACTATCCTGTTTACAAAATTGTTAATAGGATATAAGTTTTAAAAATTTAGAATATTTTTGAATAGAAAATTTCATCGATGTACTGAATTTATGCTAATTTCGATTATAATGTCGAAAATGGATTCAGACTCAATATAATAAATTTTAGCAATCATAGTTAATAAAATATTATCTAATTTAGTTAATTTTATAAACTAAAATAATTTATCTAATTGTTTCATATGAGTATTCGCTACATAATATAAGTATTATCCATCTACATTAAAGAGTATTAGATTTTCTTTTAACAAATATTGCATTATATAGTATTTATACACTATATTATATTTTAACCCTTGTCTATATAATTTATATAAACATTTATTATAATTTTTATATTTATGAAAACTTACACCATTCTGTTTTACTATTACAACTTATTTAATATTGATTTCTTTTTTTCTTACAGATTGTACATACAGTTTACGTTTGATTGAAGTTCAAATACCGAAACATGTTGTAAAAGGTGCTGAAGCAAAACTTGAATGTCATTATGATCTTGATGAAGAAGCATTATATTCAGTTAAATGGTATAAAGATGGTAATGAATTTTATAGGTATGTTCCAAGAGATATGCCACCTGCACAAATTTTCCTGTTACCTGGTGTTACAGTTGATGTAAGTACTCTGCATCGTTAAAAGTATTTTTTAAAATCCGTTTTCCTCCCTATCGATTTATATTGAAAGTTCGAAAAAAAAGAATGCATTAAGAGTGGAATAAATAAATTTTAAAGTGTTTTCATTCTGGAAAGAACACACAAACATAAACATTTAAAAATTATGTAGTCAGTTGTTAAAAATTTATGTGATGACTTGTACGAGTACAACAACATAACCTTTAACATGAATTTTGATGTTTTAAAAATTCATTTTGATTTTTTTTTTTTTTGCAAAAATCCTCTTGAATTTATTTTTCGCTATGGATTTTTTTTTATTTATTCTATTAATTTGTAGTTATTTTTCTTTTTTTATAAGTAAATACAATTTTCAATTGAAAGTAGATATTTCCCGCGATTATTTTTTATACTTTTATAAATCTTGATTTTTTTGCAAATACTTCAATTTATGGCATACTTAAAAGTATAAAATTTAAGTTTATAACATTAAGTATGTCTTGCTTGTTCAATATAATCATTCAAATGTATTTTGTAGTGCTTTACAAATAGAACAAATTATTAAGAACAATGAGATGTTTAAATCCGGGCTCTATTTATTGTACTGACAAATTTTCCAATATAATTATAATAAAAAATTACTATTTTAATAGGACAATAATTATTACTTTAGTAATACAGTCCTTACTTTGAGGACAGTAAATTTATAATATTGCTCTATTGAAAAATTTAATAGTACGTAAAATACTTCTTTTTATGCCGAGCATTTAAAAGTATAATTAGAAAATTTTTGTACATAATAAAGTGCAGTTGAACCTGTTCAATTTAAAGGTGAACCAAAATAGATGAGCAGTCCAAACAACGTTGTCCTTGCACATATTTAATTGAAAGTGGAGATCTTTAGGATAATTTGAATAAGTTGTCAGCAATCTTAAAATAATAATTCCCATTTTTTAATGTTATAAGTTGTTAATAGACCAACTGTACTAATAGAAAAGTTTAAGTTATCTATATTTCAGAATTTAAGGCAGAAATTCACGATATTGAAAGTTGGGTTAGATTCTTTAAATTTTTTTATATACTATGTTATGCACACTATTGTAGTAGTTCAACTACTAGTAAGTTTAATGATAAGTCTAATGACAGAATTATGAAATTTTTGCGTCAGTTAGAAAAAATGATTTTGGACAAAGTATCAGTTTTAGTTCACAGTTACAGACAAGCGAACAACTATTGTTAACAACGAACTTCAAAAAGAGAATAAATAATTCAGTATTGTTTTGGCTTTTGATTTCAGTTACAAGTTAGTTTCCCTAGTCCTGGCACTAGTTTTCAATTACTGTTAACTTCACATACCAATGTTTCATATAGAACCCTTAGTAGTTGTGATTAAATATTTTTTTTAAAAATTATATTTAAAAATCATTTTTAAATTCATTTTTATTTTAATAATGTTATATTTGATATTTTTAATATTCCATATTATATTTATACTATTTTTTTTCTATTTATTGCATCTTCATAAATTCGTAACAGATTCATAATTCAAGTGATGTTGTCGTTGTACTAAAGCATGTCAATCTTTCAACAACTGGAAAATATCGATGTGAAGTTTCTGCAGAAGCTCCATCATTTCAAACTGTATCAGATCATGGTGATATGATTGTTGTTTGTAAGTATCATTAAAATTTCAACATTCTATTTATTTTTTTTTAATAATATTGCAAAAATTCATATCAATGATTTTACTAAGTAAATAAATAATGTTATACATAATATATGTATATGTATTTTAAAGGGAAGAACAAGTATTTAAGATGAAGAAAGAAAAACTAATATTTGCGAATATTTTCAATTTGACATCATCATTATTTGATTTATAATACAAATTAAACAATTCTATATTTCTTAATATGTTTTTACATAGACATAGACACAATATATGTTACGTTATTTAATCGAACGTAACATAAATGCTGACAATAAATAAATTGGGAATAAAAAATGAATTTAAATGTTTTCGAATATAAGCAAGGATTTTATTTTAGTTAACTTACAAGTATTGTTGAAAATATTCAAGTGCAATTTCAATAAATAGTTAGAATTTTTTCTTTTATATAATTTTAATGGTAACAGAAAAAGTCGAGTGAATCGAATAAATTCTGTAATACTCGTACAAAAATGTTTTCTTGAGATGTATACCACTGCGACTAAATGCTTTTGAAAACAGAAGTCTTGTTATGTTAACTTTATAACTTCAAAATATTGAGGTAATTAAGAATATGAATAACCTTCCATTCCGAAAACCCATTCTTTTGTTGTGAATTTGCATTGAACGAATCTATTTTGGCCCTGTCAAAAAAATTATCTTAGCAATGAAGAGAATTTTTAATTTTAGTAAAATTAATATTGCAAAAGTTCTTCTCTATAGATGTTAACCTAATAACTATGACAAAAAATTGAGCTGCATCTTCAACTGAACTGAAATTAAGTAACGTTCAAGCTATAATAGTTTCATGGAAATTTAGTTAATATATTGTCGAATTGTCATTGGAATTGTTTGATGAACATTCAGGCAGACATACTCATTTCATATTCAACTATTATTTTTTGTGGTAAAATGTATAGAGCACGAAAACAATATTGATTATTAAAATTATGAAAGAAATTACACTTTAAACTACGAGATACAAAAATAAAAGATTAAGATGTATAATCTTAGCATTAGCCAGCAAAGAAAGCATTAGAAAGCATTAGACAGCAAGCACGGGATATATGCTCTGGTTTCCCACCTTAATTAAGATCAAAATTCAATTTTTAGTTCTGTGTCATCTTTAATTAGTCCATGTACAAAGAATTAAATAATTGGAATTTCTATTTAGAAAATCTATTTTAAACTTTTTAACCGTAGAACGAATTTTTTCGTTATTTTAATTCCTTTGTTCTTTTCATCTCCATAGTATTGTTAAATCCAAAAATTATTAAAAATAGAAAAAAATAACAAAATAAATTCAATGTCTGACCAAGAATTCCTTATTTTCTCATCTTTCTTTTAACATAAATTTAAGTAATATTTTTAATATATATATATATATCTGATACATATGTATGTATATAGATACAAATTTTTTATGCCTATAAAATTTTTATTTTTATATCGTCTTTTCTTTTACATCAAAATTGTTAAACAACTTTTCTTTAATCACTTTTAATACCAGTTTTATTTGAATTCGCGAATCAATTCAATTCCCATTAAAATCTGATGTCCTGTTCGGATTTACTAAAAATCTTCTGTTACATACAATGTTCAAAACAAAAAATATACATAAAAATGAGAAAAATCTTAAAAAGAAAAATCAAAAAAAAGAAAAAAATAAAATCATTCTTATAACAGAAAGAAAAACCTTACACAAGACAAAAGACACAAACTCACACACAAACGTACACGCACACGCACACAGAATTTCAATCATCCAGTGAAGGATTTTTTTTTTAAATATTCGCGTTTTAAATTTTCATGTTCTTTATTTTTATTGCCATATTATTTTTCAATATAACAGTACATACATATATAAATACATAAGTACGTGTATATCAATGAATTGTTTGATAAATAAATGGATACTTGGTTATCAAGTAATAAAATTTTCTTTTTGGTAAAAATTTCTTAATCTGAAAAATCTCATAATAATTTAGTCAATTCAATATTGTCCTTCGAAAATTAGAAAAAAAATTTAATTTTTTTCTTTTTATATAAATAAGAAGAAATTTCAGCGAAATATTTTATTCCCACTGTTAAGATTTGACAGACAACCATAAAAAACAGAGAAGCCTCTTATGAAACAGAGAAGCCTCTTATCTCTTTAAAATTTAAAAATAGCAACATTTTAAAATTGCAAAGTTTAATTTAAAGTGTTATTATTTTAGGATTTCATCGGAAAATAGAACCATGACATAAAAACCATTTGAATAATTGTTTGGCAACACTGTCATAAAACATTAATCTTTGTGAAGTAAATGGCAATATAAGATTTTTAATATTTTTATAGAGCCACTAAATTCTAAATTTCTGTTCTTTTTTTTTTGCCAAAAATCGATTAAAAAAAATTTTTTTAAATAATATGTAAGATATTCATTGTTATTATTCTGACAACTGTAAGAGTAACAAGTAAAAACGTTTCAGTCGGTATAAACCGATTGAATTATACCCTGCACCTTTCATTGTTGTATAGCAATTACTTAAACCTGTGAAACCATTCTATAGAAACTTCATGGATATGTCTGATCTATAACTGAACACACAAGTTTCGTGAATCTGACTTTATTATTTTTCCAAATATTTAAAATTAGTTTTTGGAGTTGTATGGCAGGTACCCGAACCTGCCAAGCAATTCCACTAAAACTTCGCAAATATATCTGATCTATAATTGGCCACACAACTGCAAAGTTTCATGAATCTGACTTTATTATTTTTCCAAATATTTAAAATAAGCTTTTGGACTTGTATGGGAGCTGCTCGAACCGGTCAAGCAATTCTACCAAAACTTCAGAAATATCTTTGACCTATAATTGGACACACGACTGCCAAGTTTCATGAATCTGACTTTATTATTTTGCCGAATATAAAAAATTAGCTTTTGAAGTTGTATGGCAGGTACCCGAACCTGCCAAGCAATTCCACCAAAACTTCACAAATATATCTGATCTATAATTGGCCACACAACTGCCAAGTTTCATGAATCTGACTTTATTATTTTTCCAAATATTTAAAATAAGCTTTTGGACTTGTATGGGAGCCACTCGAACCTGTCAAGCAATTCCACCAAAACTTCAGAAATATCTTTGACCTATAATTGGACACACAACTGCCACGTTTCATGAATCTGTCTTTATTATTTTTCCAAATATTTAAAATTAGCTTTTGAAGTTGTATGGCAGGTACCCGAACCTGCCAAGCAATTCCACTAAAACTTCGCAAATATATCTGATCTATAATTGGCCACACAACTGCCAAGTTTCATGAATCTGACTTTATTATTTTTCCAAATATTTAAAATAAGCTTTTGGACTTGTATGGGAGCTACTCGAACCTGTCAAGCAATTCCAACAAAACTTCAGAAATATATCTGACCTATAATTGGACACACGACTGCCAAGTTTCATGAATCTGACTTTATTATTTTGCCGAATATTTAAAATTAGCTTCTGGAGTTGTATGGCGGCCACCCGAACCGGTGCAGCTATCTCATTAAAATTTTTAGAGCATATGTAGAATATAATTGGACACATGTACACAAAATTTTGTATTTGTACCTTTATTAGTTTTTGAAATAATTAAAATAAACTCTTTGAGTTGTATGGCAGCTCCGAGAACCCGTTGTCCGAATTGGTCCAATAACAATAGGGTTCGTCCTTGGCACAAAAGAAACAACTTGTGAAAGTTTGGTGTCGATTGAATTATTCGTTTTTGAGTTATCGTGCGATCGGACGGACGGACGGACGGACGGACGGACATGTCTAAATCAACGCAGAATTTTACGCTGAGCAAGAATATATATATATGTCCATACCGCAGATGACTGTTTCAAGTAGTTACAAACTCCATACCAAAGTTAATATACCCTTCACGAAGTGCAGGGTATAAAAATACAAATTATACAGTCTGAATTATTTAAAAAGCCTTGTTCAGCCTAGAAAACCATATAAACCGCTCTTAAACAAAATCTAGTTTAATAATGTGTTACAGGCAATCTAGGGAGTCTAGATTTCAATTATCTTTTCGAATATCATCACATATGTCTATGACTGTATCAACATATATACGAGTGTGTACCTAGTAATATTTTCACTGTGAAAAAGCTTTTTGAACACACACACACTTACATATATATTCAATATATTTTTCTTGTTACTTTTCATTGATGAATTTTAAGCACCCCATAAAAAATTTCTATCCTTTCAATAAAAAAAATGAAAAAAAAAATAAATTGGAAAATTGAAAAATAAAAAAAAATCGTGGAAAAGTTTTTCTTAGATTTTTTCTCCATTTTTTTCTTTTTCTCTTGTTTTTGTTTTGTGTGTTTTTATTCATTTTTTTTCTATTACTTTTTGTTGCTGTTTTAAATTTCTCTTTGCAACTTTTTTTGCAAAATTTTTTACAAAATATCCTAGACGTTTTTACCTATATTTATTTCAAACAAGAAGAATAACGGAACGAGAGAAGACCGAGTTAGTTATTCAATAAAACTTCTTGACTTTTGAACTGGTATTGAGATGCTTGATGTTTTTTAGACTAAACTCACATTTGTTTGCTTGGGTGTTTGAGTGAACTTATTCTTAGTAGGTTTTCATGCTATCACTTCTGCTACTATACTTAAAAAATATTGCTACAATACTACAATTTAAACACAAAAAATATATAAAAAAAAACAAGAGAAGAAAAAAACAACAATAAATGAATGAAAGAACAACAGTAAACCATCATAAAAGACGCAATGAAAAATGAAGAGAAAAGTATTTCAAAGTAAAATAAACCAATAAAAATCTCATTTAAAAATTTTGTATTTTTTCTTTTCGATTTTGCTCTGACTCTTAACAAAAAGGAGAAAAAAAGGATAAAACAAGTAAAAACGTTTCAGTCGGTATAAACCAATTTAATTATACCCTGTACTT